TCTGGTGTGCTGCTCACTATATTGAATCAGGAAAGAAGGAAGGAAGGAAGGAAGGAAGGAAGGAAGGAAGGAAGGAAGGAAGGAATCCAAAATTCTATGATGGTGCTGTAAGGCCTTCCCCCAAAAGGGAAGATCCTCATTCAAGTCTCGGGATGACTCGACCCCCCAAGAACTCATGAGAGAGTGTCCTTGCTGCAATCACACGAGGTTTATTGACAGGAGCCAGCTCGCTGGGGCCGAGACTCATATCCCACGCAGGGGTAGAGGAGTTTCGACCCCGAATGGCTGGGAATAGGTTTAAAGAAAGAAACCACAACCCAAAATACCAAGAATACCAGTGAAGGGTCCCGAGGGAAAACACAAGGGGAAACTCCCTATTCCTTAAGATTGTAAGATTCTAATCTAACTTTTTATGGCTAGCCTTTTCCTGGAACAGAGTTGCTGAACCAGCTAGCCACCCTATATCCTAGGCTTTATTTTGTCTGCTGAGGGGGTCTTCTTTATCCTGGCCTTTCAGTGCCTTCAGTGTTGCTTCTTGTGGTCATTAGTGGCTTTGACTGTAAGACAGTGCTCTGGGGTAAGGTTGGCTGAGAAGATTTGATGAATTCTTAACAACTGTGGATATGACCATGGGCATCCCTGAAAAGGCTGTGTTACTCAGTTTGGGAGGATAATAGTGTCATTGGCTCATATTGCCATATTACCACTGCCTTAGTCACTGTTCTGTTGCTGTGAAGAGACACTATGACCTCGGCAACTATTATAAGAGAAAGTGTTTAATTGGGGACTTACTTACAGTTTTAGAGGTTTAGTCCATTATCATCATGGCTAGAAGCATGACAACAAGCAGGCAGGTGCTGGAGCAGTAACTAGGAGCTACATCCCTGACTTGTAGGTGAGAAGAGGGGGAGGGGGAAAGGGAGAGAGAGAGAGACAGAGACAGAGACAGAGACAGAGAGAGGCAGACAGAGGGAGACAGAGACAGACAGAGACAGAGACAGAGAGACAGACAGAGAGACAGAGAGAGAGGGGGGAGGGAGAGAGACAGAGAGACTGGGCTTGGTGTGGCCTTTTGAAGCCTCACAGCACCTCCCTCATACAGTGACACACTTCCTTCAACAAGGCCACACCTCTTAATCCTTCTAATCTTTTAAAAAGGTCCATTTCCTGGTTACTAAGCATTGAAATATATGAGCCTACAGGGGCCATTCTTATTCAAACCACCACAACCACCTGATTCATGCAAAAGTACCCTTGAAGTAGCCTTTTAAGGAGGATACTGTTATTATAATTCTGCAGATGAGACTTAGATATAAAATATAAGGTTGGTAAAGCTCAGTAGGAGTGAAGGAGAGATGAGTAGAGAGATTATTTAGATTCCCTTAGGACACAGGTATTTCTTGAGTACCAACTTTGTGCTGATCTCTATTATCATGGAGCTGCCTTCTAGAGGAGACAAACATTAGCCTAACAGTTCTTCTAATGCATATTTCTTTATTAAGACAAATGCTCTCAAAGTGCTGAGTGGGCTTCTCTAGGTTGTTGCCCAGATGCATCTGGTTTGGGTTAAGGGGTGAAGGTGAGTAGAAGTTGACCAGGTGAGTGGGGTTCAGATATAACTTGGGAGACAGGAGGAACATAGAGGATGGAGGCCTGTGGAAAACATCAGGGCATGTAGGATAGAAGCTTCTTAACTTGCCTGCTGGCCCCCGAACTCCTCTTCCCCTGTGCCTAACCCAGAGGTGATGCTGTATGACTCTTAGGTGCTGTCTTGGTTTCTTTCCCTACTGCTGTGATGAAATATTGTTGCAAAAGCAACTCAAGGGAGAAAGAGTTTATTTTAGCTCACAATTCAAATTACAGACCATCATGAAGAAGTCAAGGCAACAGGCTCTTGAAGCAGCTGGTCACATGGCATCCACAATCAGAAAACAGATAAATGTAGACTAAATCTCAGCTTGCTTTCCCATCAAAAAGCCATGCTCACAGTAAAGACAGAAGAGCAGAAAATGAGCCCTTGGAAGGGCTCAGAACATGCAAGTCACCAGAAAATGGCTTATTACAACCAGAACAAATTCACAGACTGACAGTGACTTTCTTGTGTGCACCTTCCAGAGTGTCTCATAGCTTCCTGGGGTAATTGGATGGGGGGGGGGCTGAAGAGAGAGATTTGTTTGTCCTTTAACTATGTAAGGTTGTTATCTATCTCCATGATGGTCTGGTCCCTTTTTTGGACAGAGTCTATTAAGAAAATGTGGATGTTCTTCTCACCCATCTTTCTGTCACTTCAAGACCCCCCTTCCCTGGGAAGGAGTGCCTCTTTACCAAGGAGTTCGGTTGTGTTGCTATGCTCCTGACAGCTGCTATGCTTCAAAGCCACGGACTGGGCTCAAACTCAGAGATCTGCCTGCCTCTGCCATCCAAGTACAGGAATTAAAAGGTGTGCACCGCCATGCCTAGCCACCGCCCTCTAGCTTTGTCCCTGGTTATCTTTCTCCCTCTTAGGAGCATGCGATGCTTGATGAAATGTTTGCAAAAGGTCTCAGGACAGTTAAATGACTTGATAATGAAATCATTTTTATGACTTTTATGAGTGAGACCCTTGTTCTTGCATCTCTGCACCTTCTCCTACTTTTAATGGCCTCACCACCTCCTACCAGTTCTGAAATGCTTTAATCTCCATGTGCTGTTTATCTCCTTTTCCCATCTAATGTGGGGAAAACCATGACAGTTTTTCTTTTCCTCCCCTTTTCCCTATGATTTCAACCCTGTTAGGCCCTGGTGCATCCTAGGTTCTGTTTCTAGGCCAGTTTCTTTTCACTTACACCTCTGAGGTTTTGGTGCCATGTCCCTATGAGTACACATCTCTCTCCCTCTGGGCCTGATTGGAGGACCAAACACTATGCACTCAGCATGTTGAGACGATGCACTTAGAACAGTGCCCAGCATGCTGTGGATGCTACAGAAGTGCTGGATGCCAACTGCCATCTCAGGACATGGACACACATTCTTTCAGGAGGCCACATACCTGGTTTAGGTCCACAGTCTGCCCAGGTCTAGTTGCAGTGGTTTCTACAGTAAGTGTGAGGGACCAGGGTGTGATGAGTCTTACCACTTTTTTCTAGTTTTTTCATGTTCTTTTTTGGATTTTTGGTTAATTTTGATTGCAGCACCTTTATTTATTGACTTTCCTGTAGTTTGTTTTTGCTGTGCTTGGGGTTGGACCCAGGGCCTTGCACATGTAGGTAGGAATTCTGTCACCAAACTATATCCACATTCCTGTCATATTGTTTTTAAATTTGTTTATTTATTTATTTGTTTATTTATTTATTTTAGTTGATGTGTATGGCTGTTTTGCCTAAATGCACACATGTACACCAGATGCTTGGTGCCTGTGGAGATCAGAAGAAGAAGCTGTTGGGTGCCCTGGAATGGGGATTATAAAGGGCTGTGAGCTAACATATGGATGGTGGGATTTGAACCCAGGTCCTCTGGAAGAGTAGCCAGTACTCCTAACCACTGAGCCATCTCCAGCTTTTGTGTTATTGTTCTTAGTAGTAGTTCCATGATAATCTTGAACTTTATCTGCTATTAAATCACATCTGCTTGTGTCATTTTTCTATCTGTGACTTCTTTTTCTTATCTAATTGGATTGCTTAGTGTCTGCTGTTTTAAATAACTGCTGGAGACTCCTTTGTCTTCTTCCTGACTGGGGAATGGTGCTAGAGTTTCACCATTTAGTATTACGAGGCATAAGGTGTTGTTTTTACCTCTCAATGATGTTTTGATCTCTACCCTTTTTTGAGTGTTTTGTTTTATAAATAAGCACTGTTTCTGAGTGTCAATTCTGTACTTATGGAGAGTTACCTCACTGACAAGGTAACACTGAGTACACTAAGCCTGAGGGACTTAGGGAAGGCTGCCATGTGAATACTTGGGAGGAAACACTGATGGAGACTAGCACACATAAAAGCACTGGGCACTGTAGGAGGAGCAGGGATGAGGCTCTGTATGGCGAGGGTGGCCTATGAGAGAAAGGAAGAAAAGCAGTGCAGCTGCCAGGACCTATGTGACGTGGACGGGTTGGACAGATATAGCTGGCTATGGAAGGCCATGGGCTAGTAAATGTAGAGAGCCGTGGGTAAGAGGAAGAAGAGGCTGTGTGGCGCTCAAGACAAGCAGTGCTCTGGCTTTGATCACGGGATTCTACCAGACTGTTCATTTTAGAGACTGGGAGAGTGGCTGGGTAAAAGGGAAGGATCTCTGGTGTACTTGTCCAAAGCAGCTGCCACTTAACTGAGATAAGGACAACTGGCTTTAAATGTGCTACCTAGGGGTGTCCAAGTGGAGGTGATGAGGGGCGGTTTAAGTCAGGAGCTGGAGCGAGGTAATGGTGTCAGCTGTTAAGCTGCTCATCTCCTAAACCTCAGAGAATTCTTGGACTTGCTTTGATGTGAAAAAATGAGGGAGTCCTTATCTCTTACTGCAGATGTGTTTATCTTGTTCTTGGTTTTTATGCAGTTTGGCCAGTGAGTACTGCCATGCTGTTGTGTGTGTTATCTTTCTAGTAACCCATGGGGAGCTTGTCTGCATGGGGCCAGGAGCATCCTTTTGTTGCTGTTGCAGGACTAGTTCTTACTGCTGCCTGCTGTGCCTCCCAGACTTGGTGTAGTTTTTATGCTAGGGCAGAATATGGACATCTTTGTTAACTCCTCTCACAGTTAGCTCTCTCTCTCCTTGCCTGCTTCAAGCCTTTCAGAAGAGCTCTGTGGATTATTTCGGCTCTGTGTGTGGCTATGACACAACACTGACCAAAACCAACTTGGATATGGGGAAGCATTTGACCATACAGGTTACAGACCATCACTGGTGGAAGTCACAGTGGGAACTAGAAGCAGAAACCACTCTACCTATGGTCCCTAAAGCATAGTTCAGTGTGAGTAGATGGATAAATGAATGAATACTTACCTGGCTGGTTTCATTCTCTTGATTTGGTGCAGTGGATCTTCCGCTAATTGACAGCCTAATTCGGGTGTTACAAAATATGGAACATTGTCAGAAAAAACTAGCAAACTCCACAGAAGCGCCTACAAACTGTGTTTCAACTCAAGATGACTTCCATATGAAGATCCTGAAGGATATTTCATGTGAATTCCTTTCTAATATTTTTCAGGCATTAACAAAGGTACAAAACAAGTATTGGGGGTTTCTTTTTTTTTTTCTTTGGCTGTCTTAGAAATCACATTGTAGACCAGGCTGGTCTTGAACTCACAAACATCTGGCTGCCTCTGCCTCCCCAGTACTGGGTTCAGAGGCATGCACCACCGCCTGGCCATAAAACGTATGGATTATGGATTGCTTGACATAACTTCTAAGGAAGGGGCAGCTGTGCTTCGATACAACTGAGAGCCCAGTCCATGGTGGAGAGACAACCAGGATTCAGTGGCCAGGCAACGTGTACCACTTTTCTCTTCCCTTCTCCTCTCCTGTCTTGTATGATGATAGGCCAGTCCTATCCCTCTGAACTGCAGCATCAGCCCTGCTTTTGGTTTTTTGTTTTAAATGGAGACTGGTGCACATGTGTAGAAGTCAGAGGACAACTGGAAAGAGTTGATTCTTCCTTCTACCTGTTATTTTTTTATACATAAAAGTAATAGGACTACTTTACTCAATGTGGGAAAATTTTATGTTATTACTTGCAGTCTTAAAGTAACTGGTTTTGTATGTGTGCACGCACACATGCAATAGGCATATCAACAGACTAAATTACTAAAATTTATATTGATAATTTCTGATGTGTGAAAATGTTGGTTTTGTTTCTTATTAGTGGATATTATAATTTTATATTGAATTCAATGGGTGAAAATTTGTGCCCTATTTTGATTTACATTTTTTATTAGTGGGCTGGATTATCTTTCCATATATTTGTGTATTTTCCTGTTCCCTCTTTATAAAGATCTGATTTTTAAAATTTTGCAGTTTTGTGATACTTAAAGTCAAACCTAGGGCTTCTCACCTGCTAGGCAAGTGCTTCCCCATTGAGCTACATCCCTAGCCTCATGGATTCATTTTGACATGGATTTTTTGGGTGATACTTATGTCTTAGTCAGTATTTTGTTGCTGTGAAGAGGCGCCATGACCAAGGCCACTCTTACAAAAGAAAGCATTCAATTGGGGACTTGCTTACAGTTTCAGAGGCTAGTCCATTATCATGAAGGGGACATGGCAGCAGGCAGACATGGTGCTGGAGAAATAGCTGAAAGCTACATCCTGAGCTGCAGAAAGAGGGAGACACTGGGCCTGGTATGGTTTTTGTTTGTTTGTTTTGATTTGATTTGATTTGTTTTTTAGTTTTTGGGTTTTTTTGGGGGGGGCTTATTTTTGTTTTTGTTTCTTTGGGGTTTGTTTTGTTTTGCTTGTTTTTTTTTTTTTTATTTTTTGAGACAGGGTTTCTCTGTGTAGATCTGTAGACCAGGCTGGCCTTGAACTCACAGAGATCTGCCTCCCTATCGCTGGGATTAAAGTTGTGTGCCACCAATGCTCAGCACCTGGTATAGGTTTTTGAAACCTCAAAGCCCACAGTGACACATTTCTTTCAACAAGGCCACACCTACTTCTGCAATGCCACATCTCCTAATCCTAATCCTGTCAAATAGAGCCACTCCCTGGTGACTGAGCATTCACATCTATGAGCCTGTGAGGGCCAGCCCCATTCATTCTACCACGGCATCTTTTTTATTTCACCTTAAGATATTTTTTAGATTGTTTGTCATTGCTTTAGGTTTGGGAGGAAATGACAAATATGTTCCTTTGACTTTAAGTTAAAAGAAGATAGCAGGAAGGTGGGTTGATTAAAGACCCAAGGACATGTCATGAAACTTCTAGGAATTTGGGGTTAATCTCAAGGAAACTGGGGTGCAGCTAAAGCTTTCTTTTTTTAAACAAGTGATAGCATCAGTCTGAAAAGATTCTTCCAAAAACAACAGGCATAAAGGGATGGAGTTGAGGGCTAGAGGCCAGGGGCCAGTGAATTGGCTCAAGGATGGTGATCTACAGGAATAGTCTGGAAATGAGAGCCTAAAGGAGGGAGGGAGGCCTGACATGATAGGTGTGTGGGAGGAGTCAGCAGGAAAACAGGCCTAGTGGCCCTGTGTCTCGGCTTCCCACTCAGGCAGCTAGATGAGTAGTGTCCTTCACTGAGATTAGCTGTGTGAAGGTACACGAGGCTCTTCATGGCAGCTCAGTGCAGGGCGTTTGAAGTGCTGATGGGGCCAGTTGTGATTGTATATACTAATGTTGATCTTTTTGCTAGATGACATTTTCCTTTTCTGCTATTACATTTTCTTTTGTTTGTCGTAGGAAACCATGGCTAAGGGACTGAAGGAGGGCCAGTTAAGTAAAAAGAAATATTCCTGTGCATTTCAGAGCCTCCTGCCTCTCTACAGCCCTGTGGTGAGTAGGGTGAATGTACAGCTCAATCGATTGTCAAAAATGATGGTATACCTTATAGGATTTAATGTCCTGTGAGAAAGTTGGCTGGTGTATGTGTAATTCTAATTATGGGCCTATGCATAATTTAATTCTAATCTCAAGAGGAAGGAATCGACATGGTTTATAGTGGCCCTTCCTGCTATGAAGTACACAGCCCATATAGTAAGTGAAAGCCTAAATGTTTTTAATTAAATTTTTTTTTGTGATTTTATTTTTTTCTGTGTGTGTATATGAGTGTTTTCCCTGGATATATATCTGTGCACCATGTGTGTGCAATTGCCTACAAAGGCCAGAAGAGGGTATTGGATCCCCTGCAACTGGAGTTACAGATGTTTGGGAGCTGCCATGTTGGTGCTGGGAATTAAACCCAGGTCCTCTACAAGTTCTTTTAACTGATGAGCTTAAATTTTTCTTCTGTTTCTCTCTCTTGTGGGATAGGGCCTTACTGTTTATCCCTGACTGGGCTGTAACTGGCTCTGTAGTTCAGGCTAGCCTTGAACTCACAGAGATCTGCCTGCCTCTGCCTCCTGAGTGCTGGGATTAAAAGTATGCACCACCATGCCTGGCCCACAAGCCTAATTTTTATGAATACATTTTATGTTTCTTCACATAACAATATTTATTACCATTGGAGATAATTTCAAAATAATAGTTTTTAGGAAAATGAGCTATAGAGTGGAAGCATAAGGGGAACTGCCAGCAAAGAGGATTATAATAAAATGTTAGTATGCTGCCCTAAAAGGAGAGCAGCAGGATCTGACAGCTCAGGAGTGAAAGGAACTGGTCAGGGTATGTCACTTGTAGAGTCACTACTAGAGTATTTTCAGGTGGCTCTGCAGCAAGTACCTTGGCTGACGCCTGTGAATCTGCTACATGTCTGTTGCCTTTGAAAACCTCAGGAGGAACATTTTCATAGGTAACAATCAATGTCTTTAAACTGCCTTTTCCTCCACTACAGTGATTTGTTTCTTTGTGTGGTTCACAGGTGGAAGACTTCATTAAAGTCCTACATGAGGTTGATAAGGCTGTGGCTGAGGACCTGGAAGAAAGCTTCCCGAGTGTGAAGGCTCAGCTTAAAACCCAAGTTTGAGTTTCTGCTGTCCAGGGAATAAACTCTGTTTTCTATGTTTTGAAGTTGGCATTTAGGAGGTAATTTAGATGAACTTTGTATTTCATAGACCATGATTTCTTCAGGCTTCCCTGATATTTCTCCCCACCCCCACCCCACCCCACCCCACTCCCATTTATCCCACTTTCATTTGCACTGGTCACTAGAGTTTCACCATTGTCACCTCCCTCCCCTTTGCACTGATTGTACGGTGCTAAAGTTTAGTTGAGAAAGAGGAAATTCAAGCTTGTCAAAACCGAGGTTCTTTTTTGAGTATTAGAGTAGGTAAGGATTGTCTTCATAACTGTTCTTTTGGCTTCTATTTGAGAACTTTGTGTTCTTTGGAAGTATATTTAGCTGCAGCAACAGAAACCCCTAATACGGTAGCTTCTCCAGTATCTTTGTGTATCTTATGCATAAGTGCAGACTGTCCCCTTTCCTGTCCCAGTGGCCCGCTCCGAAGGTCTTTGCACATACTTATTTATATCTCACTTATAGTGAGAGCCGTGCTGTGTCTTCAGTCCAGGGGTGAAAAGGAAGAGGCAAAAAGGCATTCTAGAAAGTTCTGCTAGCTTTTCCTGACCTCTGTTCTGTGTTAAATTTAATGTCCCAATCCTCCCTGCACTCTGTAAGAGGTAAAACATGTGACTAGCTTGAAGAGCCAACCTGCTGATTAGCTGTAGTGGTTTTGTGAGAATCTAACAAGCTGTGTAGACTTCTCTAGATTGTTAGTGACAATGTGGAAACATTAGTTACTGTCTTAATTCAGATTTCTATTGATGTGAAGAAACACCATGACCACACAACTCTTATAAAGAAAAACATTTCATTATGGCAGCTCACTTACAGTTCAGAGATTCAGTCCATTTTCATGGTGGGACATGATAGTGTGCAGGCCAACAGGGTGCTGAAGAAGTAACTAGAGTCCTACATCTTGCAGGCAACAGGAAGTTTTGACTGAAACACTGGAATAGCTTGATCATAGGAGACCTCAAAGCCCAACACTGCAGTGACACACTTCCTCAACAAGGCCACACTTCCCAATAGTGTCACTTCCTTTGGAGACCATTTTCTTTCAAATTACCACAGTTACTTTACCTTTGTTCCACTTGAGAGTTAGTCTAGTTCACAGATGGAGGTAGAAATGCTGGCGTTGAGTATAACTGCATGTGCTTGTGCCTCAGAACAGATTTGCTTGAGTGGATTTTAAATAAAATCACCTCTGCAGTCTGACTCCCTGGTGCTTCATCTCTCTAACCATTGCTTCCTGATGAGGATATTCGCACAGTCAACCAGGCACTTAGCATTCAGTCTGTATCACCTCAGATGCTAACTGGAGTTCTTGATTGTTTTTAAAGACAATCTCAGCTATGTACAATGAGGCCAGCTCTATAAACCCATCCCAGTTTTAATCAGAGTCTTTGAATTTAAGGGGCTGCTCTTACTTTGTACCTACTTCTACTTGAAGGATCTGTGTTGATAAAGCACAGAGGATACTGTATGTGGGTAAGAGAACACAGTTTCCAGTCTAGAGATGTGTTTGGTGGTGAGTGTCACTGCTGAAAAGGATTGTCCTCACAGTTCAGCTGACTGACTTCACATCTGCCTGTCTTCAGGGTTAACTGTTATGGTAGACTGTAAGGTCATGTGCTTATTCAGTAGCAACCAGCTCTCACATAGTCCAGGCTGGACTTGGATTCCTAATCCTCTGTCTCCTTCAGTAACTGTTTAACCTCAGGCTTCAGCAGCACATCGAAGTCAGTCGCTAATGGTAAAGACTGGGCGTTGTTTCTCAGATGTAGGAAGAGGTGACAGATGCTGCACATGGAACACTTGGACCTATTGCTTTTGTTCACCATTGTGCTTGCACATTTCATGCTTTTGTAAAGGATATCTCGTACTCCACAACTGAAGTACAATTCTACTCTGATGGGATCTTTATTTTTGTTTTTTTTTGTTTGTTTGTTTGTTTTGTTGTTGTTTTGTTCCTTTGTCTTCTCTAGCTCCTTAGATTGAAAAGGGGTTTTCTCTCTATCTTGGTATTTCCTATTGCTTTAACTTTGAGTTTCAATGCTGGCATAAATGGGGAAAAGTTTAAAAGTTACCCCTCAATGTGTGTGTGTGTGTGTGTGTGTGTGTGTGTGTGTGTGTGTGTGTGTGTATATATGATGAAGTACATGCAGAAACCAGCCATAGACATTGAGAATAACCTGATTCTGGGGCTCAGCACATCTTAAGTGAACATGTTTTCTGCTCTTTAGAGTTGAGCTGCGTGTATGCTGGCACAGAAGGAACCAAAGTGAAGGAAGAGGAAACTAAGGGCACGAGGCCTGCTTTAACCAGGGTTCTCAAAGCTTGTTAGCCTAGTTCTTCAAAGGGCAGACATTTCAGCAAAAGGAAAATAGGTAGACATTTCTTTGAACTAGCCTTTTCCTATATTTTTCTTGTCACTTGTCTGCAATTAAAAGGGTCTGATCACAGTCCCTGTTCTTGTGTGTTTATGATTTCCTACTGAAATTTTTAAAAAGCAAATAAATCACATAGAACTGTAAGCTTGAACTTAAATTATTACTTTTTCTATGTCAACAAAACTCAGGGTATCATAATTGCTACCAATTTGTACTCAAGACACTGAAACAACACAGATACTTCATACCACGATTTTTATAACTATAAAACAAATATGTAAAAATTAGTTTCATTATCCCAGCTAAACTCAGCGTGGAGGCTCTTGCCATGAGGAATGTTGGTGGCTTCTCACTATGGGAACTGTTATGTACAATGAGGCCAGCTCTATAAACCCATCCCACTTTTCATCAGAGAATTTGAATTTAAGGGGCTGCTCTTACTTTGTACCTACTTCTACTTGAGGATCTGTGTTGATAAAGCACAGAGGATACTGTATGTGGGTAAGAGAACACAGTTTCCAGTCTAGAGATGTGTTTGGTGGTGAGTGTCACTGCTGAAAAGGATTGTCCTCACAGTTCAGCTGACTGACTTCACATCTGCCTGTCTTCAGGGTTAACTGTTATGGTAGACTGTAAGGTCATGTGCTTATTCAGTAGCAACCAGCTCTCACATAGTCCAGGCTGGACTTGGATTCCTAATCCTCTGTCTCCTTCAGTAACTGTTTAACCTCAGGCTTCAGCAGCACATCGAAGTCAGTCGCTAATGGTAAAGACTGGGCGTTGTTTCTCAGATGTAGGAAGAGGTGACAGATGCTGCACATGGAACACTTGGACCTATTGCTTTTGTTCACCATTGTGCTTGCACATTTCATGCTTTTGTAAAGGATATCTCGTACTCCACAACTGAAGTACAATTCTACTCTGATGGGATCTTTATTTTTGTTTTTTTTTGTTTGTTTGTTTGTTTTGTTGTTGTTTTGTTCCTTTGTCTTCTCTAGCTCCTTAGATTGAAAAGGGGTTTTCTCTCTATCTTGGTATTTCCTATTGCTTTAACTTTGAGTTTCTGACCTTGAAAATGCTGGCATAAATGGGGAAAAGTTTAAAAGTTACCCCTCAGTGTGTGTGTGTGTGTGTGTGTGTGTGTGTGTGTGTGTGTGTGTGTGTGTATATATGATGAAGTACATGCAGAAACCAGCCATAGACATTGAGAATAACCTGATTCTGGGGCTCAGCACATCTTAAGTGAACATGTTTTCTGCTCTTTAGAGTTGAGCTGCGTGTATGCTGGCACAGAAGGAACCAAAGTGAAGGAAGAGGAAACTAAGGGCACGAGGCCTGCTTTAACCAGGGTTCTCAAAGCTTGTTAGCCTAGTTCTTCAAAGGGCAGACATTTCAGCAAAAGGAAAATAGGTAGACATTTCTTTGAACTAGCCTTTTCCTATATTTTTCTTGTCACTTGTCTGCAATTAAAAGGG